TGTTGGCCTTCCTAGGAGGCTCAGTGGTAAAGAATCTGCTTGCAAATGCAGGAGACGCAGGTTCCATCCCTGAGTCGGGAAGATCCCCTGGAGAAGGAAATGGCAACCTGGCTCCAATATTCTTGCCTGGGAAATCCCATGGATAGAGGAACCTGGTGGGCTACATTTCCACAAGATCGCAAAGAGTGGCACACGACTTAGCAACTGGGCACACTCACATGTAGCTTCATGTATGACTTACAGTTGTACTGGTAACACATGTAAATCCAGACATTAGTTTCAATTTGCATGATGCTTATAAATGATGTAATTTCTCAATATGAGCATGATCTTTCAAGGTCAGTGTCAAAGTGAATACATTTGACAAAGTGTATTTTGTCACTTTGAATGAATATGAATATGGATACAAAGTGAATAAGCATTAATATAAATGGAACAAATAACTGTACAGATACTGACGTTAGCCAGTCTAATTGATTCAGCCATCTCTATACGCTCTTGAACTCAACAGACCTGAATCTGAGCAAACTCCAGGGAGCAGCAGAGGACAGAGGCGCTGGGCGTGCTGCAGATCACGGAGTCGCAGAGCTGGACAGGACTTAATGACTGAACTACACAACAACAACAAATGCTCCTGAGGTCCCATTAGAGCAGGAAACATTTTTTGTTCTTAAACCTTAGAACTTCATCATGTTCTGGAAAATTTGAGGGCTGCATGTGAAAGGTTTGATGTGCACCACGAAATCAAGTGTGCACAATGGGTCTTTGAAAACATATGAGGTTCCTCTGACTCTGAACCTGAGGATGTGGGGGTGGGGTGGAGCTGAAAATTGTCAACTCCTGGGAGGTTGTCAAATGAAAAAGGAAGTGAGTCAGACCACTGGGTCACTGCTTAAGTAAATGTTAGTCCCAAAGCTACAATGTGAGCCTGTGATTGAATACAGGCTTCTAGAGAGTAAGCTGTATTTTCTCACCAGAGCAGAGATACAATATCAGAACTTGGCACCAAATAAATTACATATTTTACCAATAATGTTCTAAGAACAAAGGAATATGCAAAAAAGATTAATAATAAATAAAAACACTAAACATGTCTTCAAGTCATGATGTGATGGCTGATTCTATGCGTTAACTTGGCTACACTCTAGCACCAAGTGCTTGGTCAAACATCAGTCTAGATGTTGGGTGAAGGTATTTTCTAGTTGCAATTAACATTTAAATCAGTAAACTTGAGAAAGTAGATTAATCTCTATAAAACAAGTGGATCTTATTCACTTAGTTGAAGGTCTCAGAAAAAAGATCGATGACCGCTGACAAAGGAGAATTTCTGTTTAGATTGCCTTTGGACTTGAGGGGCAGCATCATATTATCCCTAGACCCCTTACAGATTTCAAGACTGGCCAGCTTCCACAATTGTGTGAACCAATTCCTTCCAATAAATCCTTCCATTTGTCTCTATATTTATTTATCACCTATCATTTATTATATGATCACATATAGGATAATATATACAGTATAATTACAATAACTATAAAATACAACAGCATAGTAATCATATAACATATGATTCCATAATAATATAATTAAACATATATTATATATGTGTGATGGGCTTCCCTAGTGGTTCAGACAGTAATCTGAGCAATGCGGAATCTGCCTGCAATGCAAGAGACCCAGGTTCTCAATCCTTGAATCAGGAAGATCCTCTGGAGAAGGGAATAGCTACCCACTCTAGTATGCTTGCCTGGAGAATCCCATGGACAGAGGAACCTGGTGGTTTACAGTCCATGGGGTCACAAAGAGTCAGACATGACTGATGCAAGCATGCACAGCAACAGTTTAGATGTTCAACTGAGTGATAGTCACTCAGACATGTCCAGCTCCCTACGACCCCATGGACTGTAGCCTGCCAGGCTCCTCTGTCCATGGGATTCTCCAGGCAAGAATATTGGAGTGGGTTGCCATTTTTTAAACTGAACATAATTCAACATAACGACTTTGGGAATAATGTTCTCTCTCTCTGGTTTAGCCACGTGATTCCAGTAAGAATTGCTGTTCTGTGATTCTGCCCTCCCTGGCTGCAGACAGTGTGAACAGACATCATGACCCATGCCAGCCAGTCAGAATCCTCCCTGCTGTTTTTCAAACAACAAAAAAGAAAGAGCGCCAACGACTCCTTCTGGAAACGGTACGTGTGATACTCTTGAAATGGAGCAGGACCCTAAGGACCTTATGTCCTCTGACTGCCTTTTGTCTGCGGAAAAACTTCAGCCAAAGAATAAATTTAATCAGAGAAGTGAGAACATGTAGAAAGGAAACAGTTGAAGGAAACCAAATAATAACAATTAATAATAGTCATTAAGTATCATCAAGGACTTTTAGTTCCTTCTCAAGGAGGAACTAAAGGGCTATAGATAATATTCTCAAGGGCTATAGATGATATTCTGAACCATGTCCTGTGAGCTGTTTTATAGATACTGAAACCCCCACCAGGTGGAAGAAGTTAACAATATGATGCCTAGACTGTAGCCATGACATAATCTGCCACAATTTTGAGAACTGGCCTCAAAGAAACAGAAACAAATAGACCCGGGAACCGAAGATTAACTGTACCTAAAACAACCAAGATGATGCTAGTTGGACCACTGAGGACCAGTTTCAAGATGACTGTCAGAGCTGACTCCTGTTTCTGCATGTAGCTCCCTCCTTCTGTCTATAAAAGTCCTTGCCCACTGATCATCAGTGGGGAGAGTTGGCCTTTGGACAGGCATCCAAAATCAAGCAAACTTGCCTTTCCAACCATCTGGCCTCTCTAATGGTTTTTGAGCGATCCCACTTTCAGCAACTCTCTGAGGCTGTCAGTGGTTTCATAATCCACTATGAGAAAGAGGTTGGATTGGGCCAGAGAAAGTGAGGCCAAGGCAGAGAGAGAAGCAGAAATGAGAAATTTCTAGTTCTCTAAAGAGGGGATCTCTGGCCTCTAATTTTAGCCGTTCCTGAATCTCAGCTGCTTCCCTGCTCCCCTCCTGGGGTAGCCACTCAATCATCCCTTTGATTATATGAGAGATCTTAGTTTTCATCTGAACACGTTCCCTTTATGTTTGGTCTAAACCAGTTTGAATTGTGTTTCTGTCATTCACAACTGAAAAAAAACCAAAAAACATATTTTCTTTTTACTGGAAAATGATTCTCTGAATTTTTTTAAAAAACTGATGATGCAATTCAGAAGCACAGTAATAGTTACACTGCGGTTTGATGGCATGAACTGAAACTACTTCAGCAATGTACTGAAGTTTGCCTGCCAGCAAAGGCAATGACCCTGGTTGTGCCACTGAGGTCAAGTCACCTAGTAGGAATTAAAAGACTGCGGCTTCAGGGAAGTTGTAAGTGTACCTATATTATACTGTATTGACCAAAAAGTTCATTTGGATTTGTCCGTAAGATGATATGGAAAAATCCAAACGAACTTTTCGGCTAACCCAATCATTTTCATCACTATGATGAGAATTATTTAGATATTTATTTTCTTCTGAGTTTAGCCTTATGTTTTCTTATAAAAAGCCTCCTTCTTTCATTGGTCACTTTTCTGAAATACCATCCTCCCATTTTGTTGTTGTTTAGCTGCTAGGTCATGTCTTACTCCTTTGCAGCCCCATGGATGGTAGCCTGCAGGCTCCTCTGTCCGTGGGATTTCCCAGGCAAGAATTCTGGGAGCAGGTTGCCATTTCCTTCTCCAGGGGATCTTCCTAACCCGGGAATTGAACCTGAGTCTCCTCCATTGGCAAGTGGATTCTTTGCCACTAAGTCACCACGGAAGCCCCCAATCCTCCCATAGATCTCCGTTTCAAATTGTGTTTCTGTTCTTTGAGCATCTGGTGTAGCATTTATAATTTCATATGCCACCTGCATACAATGGATAACTCAGCCAGGCTTCATGTGACATTTCTGAAGACACAGGTGATAGTCGGGGGCTTTGTATTTGATAATGTAGGAGACTCTTCTCATCCTTAAATCCCCTGTTGGGATGAATATCCACACCAGGACTCCTGCTGCTTCTTGCAGAACAAAGCTATGCTTGGCTGATGCGGGAAAAGAAGAAATGAATATGGATAATGAGGAGAAGGCAGTTTTATTCGACAGCCTGGTGTCTCGCAGGGGAAAAAAGCCTAAGAGGCTTTAAAAAACGACACAATTTAGAAATCACTTTATCTTTCCTGCCTTTTTGGCCTCCGTGAATCATAAGTCACCTGAGCCTTGCTGTAGAAGGCTCCAGACTGTGTTCTGAACTGTGAAATATGTGAGAAGAAAACCTGGGGACCAGCTGTACCCCTCAATCTACAGAGATCCTAGACTCATTTCCATCTACTCTGACACACGTTCTTGGATTCAAAGAAAAAATGTGTGCTTCAGAAAAAGATGTCACTAATTTTGTTCTTTTACACATAGCATGTGTAACTCTCTCCAATTTCTCCAAGAAAAACAAACAAAACCTCACATATATAACAGACTGCCAAAACTCCTAAGGTTATAAGAAACACCAGGTTCTTTTATGCTCAGGAGACAAGGGGGTCTAGTCCAATCCATCCACCATCCACACTTACTGTGGCCTAAATGACATGAGAAACACAGTAAAAATCCCCTGAAAGAAAAATTGTTCTGACTCTCAATCCTCACTTTGCTTCCCCCTCACTTTCTATCCCCCTGGTTTTCAGTGTTACCATGGAAAACACCTCCTGTTCCAATGTTTGTTCACCCCAGTGCCTACATCTATTTTCTCCTTTCCTTCATTTGTGCCACCCAAACACTGACCTACTAAGGGATGACATCCTTCGCTCTGAACCAGCACGCCAGACAACCCTGAGCCCAGTGATCATTCTGCCCGTTATGAATCACACCACTGCTGAATCACACTCAGCATTGCCCAGTGAGCAGAGGATTGATGCAGGTACAAGTCTCCAATCCAATGCCCACAGAGGGCAGGAAATACTTTATCTACTCACCTCAAACTGAAGAGAAAATTTATAGTCAGAGTCTTTGGCCATATCCTTGATGTAGGCATCAAAGTCATCCAGTTGAACCGGGCTTTGTCAAACACAAAGAAAGGTACATTTTAAAAATCCTGCTGATAGGTGTCACACAATGTTTAACGCCTTACTTCTCAAACATGAACAATTTCCTTGCAGAAAACAGACATTTTACTTCTCACAGGTTAGCACTCATTTTTTTTAGGCTTAAAATTACGAATCCCTAATATATCATAATTAAAAAAGAGAGCCCTATATACTTAACTTCTTTGAGATAGGAAAAATCTCTAGATTTTCCACTGGCTTTTACTATAGCAGCAACATATTTCACACATACATACTCATACACACACAGGAATATGTGTTGTTTCTAGAAAACTCCAGTTTATGGGAAAAAAACAAGGATTAGCCTGAAGACCTGTTTGAATTATAGTTTTACTTTATTTACTTAACTCTCCTGAGATTTAACATGCTCATCTATGAAATATCGTAAGGACACTTACATCACAAGGTTGACAGGTTGACACCTGTAAATTTAAACAGTTTGACAAAGGCAAGGAATTGTGTCCCCCCAGAGAAAAGGCTGGAAGCATATCTCCAGGGAGTTCCCAGTGCCTTGCTCAGAGAGGGCTGTGTTCAGAGCCTTGCACATCTCCAGAAGTCTCAAAACAGTTGGTATGTAAAATAAAGTAACACATCCGACTTTACATTTCTGCATATGCCACAGAAGTTCTCACCTTGTTTTTGTTGTGTGGAATAAGAATTCAGTTCTATTTCCTGTAGTTTTCTCTAGCTGCT